AAGGATGGAGAAGATTGACACGGATTACAAACGACGAATTTGAAAAATCGAGGCTAAACTTTTCAATATGCGCAAACCGTGACTGAGCTCCTTTAAGAATAATCAGAAGGGAGGTCGATGATATGAGGATAAACAAGCTGGCATACCAGGAAACTTTCGCAAAGCAACTTGCACGAAAACGTATCGTGCGTGATACACCCTGGAATGAACACGTCTTGCAGCAACTCTCGTTGTACGAAGTAGAATCGTTATCGTTGCCTCTCGCAACGATTGCGGCAACGTAACGAATTTTACACGTTATCTACGGGTCTCGCCCTAAACAGCGTTTCATGAACTTGCCCCAACATGGTGCAAAAAATTCTCAGACAACGATTTCCCTTCTCAGCTTCATCTCCGTCTTCATAAATTTCCATCGTGAAGTCGCGTGTCACTGATGGACTGATTTATTTTTGTGTCTTCTGCAAGTGTGAACTGATTTAGAGATGATTCGCGTAGCCTTGCAGAGACTTGCACGTGAGCCGTCGGAGGAACTAGAAACTTGTTTTACTTCAAGATTCAGACAACAGTCTGCGATCTCTGTCAAACGCAGTGAAGTTTCTTGTGATGCGATAAGTTACCCCAGTTTGTGATAATGCTTAGGCGCAATGTTAAATCCATTGTAGCCTGTTTAATCTCTATTTATCGTATTTTTTTTATATTTTCCTTTGCAGTCTGTGGCTTAGGTACACAGTGAACCCAAACTCCACATAAAGTAGCAGGAATGCAGGAGTAAACAAGCATACATGCCGCACTGATGTTGTGTTACGAACTCTCGTCGCGTTATTACTCATTCCAAATACGTAAAGCTGTTTAAAGAAGCTTTACTTCAAAGCTTTAATGCAAAACGTTTATAAATAATACGTAATAATAAATAGGTAGGGCTGTTTCTACTCGCCTTGTTAAAAGCAGGAAGCTTCTGCTGTTGCAAATATCTATAGAGGGGTTACAAGGGAAGGCGTTATACAGCATGCGTTTACCCCAGTTGACTAAAGGCAAATTATTGATGATATCAGGAAAATCGTTGTACAGTTTCATGTTTAACTTTGTGTTTGTGGAAACAGTTCGTATCGATAAGATCACTAAACTGTCGGGCGTTCTTGTTTCATTTCGTTACATTTGTCAAGTTGTTAGTTATGTTGCAAGAGTTTTTCGTTTGAGACATAAACTAGGAAATGGAACTAAGGAATTTTGTGATCGCCATAATTCACGCATTTCGTGAAATATTTTTTAAATAATATCTTTAAGTGAATATTTAACCCGATGTGCGGCAAAAATGAAATAATTCACTAATTTGATGTAAAAAAGAATATATAGGTAGAGTTATAAAGGAATATTTTCGTTGTTTTTACTATGTTACTGGGACCAGCGCAATCTGGATTGACGAGAAAATTTTCTTTTTAATCTCATTTTGTGCCAAATTTTACTCAAGTTTATTTGAAATTTCTGTACAAGAGAAATAAATGTTTTTACGTTTATACTAGATACCAGATTTACTTTCTTCAAAGAATGTACTTATATTCAAAAGCTGCAAAAGAAAATATAACGTTATTTTATTTAAAGAACATTGAATACTTTGTTTTCCTATGGTTGGTAAACAAGTCTGTACCAAGCAGTGTTTTATATCGAGCATTTGGCTGTCAGCAATAGCTACCTTGTACAAATAACAGAATGCAATAAAGACAATAAAGACAATAAATGAATAGAAGTAACACTGGAGTGATATCCTAAAATGTTTTAGAATGTAGAATCATGCCCTCCTCAGATGAGAAATCGGGTGCGTTAGCATCGTTACCGTGCTCAGAGCGCGTTTACGAGGAGTTTCCCTCCATCCCACCCACACCNCCCCCCCCCATTTTGTCCAGCTTTGCGTTGCAACATTTCGGACGAGCGCAAATTACACAAATGAAATCACTCGATAAGTTCAATGAAACAATATTGACGTCATTTTGTCACCCTCCCCCCCACCCCTCCCTTGTCGCCTAGCGTAATCGTAATGACCTCAGATGGAAGTCCAATCCAACTGTTTTCTGCGGCACAGTTTTAGTTTGTTCCCGATATCCTTATCACGACATTGACATGATATCGTCTGGATTTTGCAATTGCCTATTGTTCATAGTCACGCGTTCTGCCGGTGACGTTGACCAATTCCCAAACCTTTGGATTTCAGGCAGCAAAGATGAAAAGAATACCCACGAAGTAACAACACGAAGGTCACAGGGCTAGGTTTGAGAAAATTTCGCACAAACGAGGATTGCATGCTGGTGAATTTTTGAGTACGTGACATAATCATGCATAGGAGTTCATAGGACCGGTTACCAATAAAACGGCAGTTGTTCGCGCAGCCCATGGCACCAGTAACAACAACAACCTCGTCCTGGGAAGGACTGGGCTGCCGGTTATTAGAAACCATTGACCGATTTTACATTTGGTCTCGAAAACCATTGATATGTAAGAAATAGAAAGCATGTTCCGTGTTTCTATCGAGTTTTAGTAGGAATCTACCAGCTTTCTGTCACGAATGCCGTTCTCTGATTGGCTGCGCTACTCACTATCTATTCTGTGAACTTTGCTTGCATGTATAATAAATGTATGGAGTTTAAAAGAAATGTTTCCAAATTATCTCCAACAGATGCAGGAAGTGTAGAAAAAAATTCATTCAACATGCATTTCTGTTATCTACTATAGGTGTGAGTTGCGTTGTACTATTTTCTGGGTGGTTATGAGACAAAGAAAGTGTTCAGTCAATCAGTCAGTCAGTCAGTCAGTCAATCAGTCAAGAACCTCTGTAATATTCGCACCTTCAATATGACCGCAATAATTAAAGGCGTTTGGTTGGTTGTTAGTTTATATACGATCAGCCAAAGGAGCCACCCGCTCCTCATTGCTTTGATTTTGGCGCAAGTCTTTGACATGAGCTGTTCAAGTACTGCAAACAAGAAAGAAGCTAGCTAGTAAGGTTATACGGAAGCTAAAATTTATTTCGATGGGAAAACATCTTAATGTTTGATTGAAACTGCTCAGATATCGAAAGTTTTAGCACACTGATTTTTGAGAGTTTAGTTGCTAAGCAGTCTGGTTGCTAAGATAACTGTCTTGTTCGTATATATATTTCAGACTTCGATACCATCTTACGCTCGATTTCCAGCAGTTTTGGGAGTACAGTTGTTAAATCGAGCCTAATGTCATCTACGCTATCGTGGTTCATGTTCAGGGCCATCCCCCCTTTTTTGTTCGTTTATTGTCGAATGCGTTTTCTGATTTCGGGTCGGTCGGTCGGAAAAGGAAAAAATAAACAAAAATAAAATTGGAAAAGGAGTCTGGAGCTAGGAGGCCCGGTACCTCAGCATAATATCCGTGGAGCCTGGAAACAACAAGGTGTGGTTACAGAGTCAACATGACGGCAATGGGGGAAGGAAAAATCGACGTCGTTGTTGAAATCAAACGAGAGCAGGGAAAAAAGGATGAACCACCAAAACTGCACACTGATCTGTCAGCATCCATGACTGAAACAATGTGTCATTGCCTTAATTGCCTTCTGCGTAACTCTTTTTCTTTTTGAAAACGCGAAAATCTGGGTCGGTCGGACGACGCTAAGGCCATCCCTGTTTATTGTCGAATGCGTTATCTGATTTTGGGTCGGTCGGTCGGAAAAGGAAAAAAAAAAACAAAAATAAAATTGGAAGATTGAAAAGCCCCATTGGGGAGGTAACAATAAAGTATGTATGTAAGAGGAGTCTGGAGCTAGGAGGCCCGGTACCTCAGCATAATATCCGTGGAGCCTGGAAACAACAAGGTGTGGTTACAAAGTCAACATCGCGGCAATGGAGGAAGGAAAAGTCGACGTCGTTGTTAAACTCAAACAAGAACAGGGAAAAACTAAAAGTCTGTAAGGCAAAAAATTCCTTATCTTTCAGATTAAAGTGACAATTGTTTGAAATAATGTGTCATTGCCTTCATTGCCTTCTGCGTACCTTTTTTTTAATTAAAAACGCGGAAATCTGGGTCGGTCGGACGACGCTAAACAGAGGAAAAAAAGGAAATGGCCTAAACAGAGAAAAAAAAGGGGATGGCTTTGTCAGAAAAAAAAAAAACAGCGCTTTCTCACGCGTTTGTAAACTGGGGAAGATTACTTTTCGCCCTAAAAAATATACTACAATGTCAATATCTAACTTAACAAGGTTTCAAACCCAAAAGAAATCAAAGTTTAACCACCAAACTATCGCTCCTGTACCCGACTTCTTGGATCCTTCTTGACATGAATTCACTGTCGAATTCATAGTTTCAACGCGGGCGCCAGGCTAAATAATGGCGGGAAAGTTGGTGCAGGCGCTTCTCTTTTGGCGCGAAATAACTATTTTTCGCCTCGCCGTCTCAACTTCACGATTTTCAAAAACACGCAAAGTCATTGTAAACTGGACGAACAAATGTTATTTTGTTCACTGGGGAATGATCTCATCTCAACTGAAAAGAACTTTGATACATTCTGCCATTAATCAAGGTGAGAGAAGTTCACGTTCGAGAATTCCCTCGTCCGATCGATCTATTTTCTAGAGCTTACAATGATGTCTATCCAAGCGTCGGGCATTGTTAAGCGTGGGTTATTGCTTATCATTGCTGTTTTAAACCAGCTATCTAGAGCTGTACCTACAATAACACTTGTTGAGTTTCTCAAGACAGGGGACTCTTCCAGCGTTCATAGGGCCTCTGAGTCGGTCGTTTCTCTAATAGCACAAATGGCAGAGGCCATGCCAAATTTATCATACATTCTTAGGGCAGATGGCCATTGCTATAGCTTTGCCTGAATTTAACCGGATCTTGGACTTTCGGTGACCCCTATTTTTCTTTTGATGGATCATTTTCTCTACCGATTTTCTTCGTTTATCGACAAAATGAAGAAAATCTATCGATTAGAAGTTTGAATTTTTTGTAAAATGCACCATCGAATTCCGTTCTTTTTATCTCTTCGTTTATCCGTGCGGCGGTTTCAAATACCTCTTGAAGGGTTAAGTTTTGTGAAATTGTCGGCAGCATTTGGAATTATTTACCCAACAGACCCAACAGACCCACTTCTACCAAACATGACTAAGATCGTTTGGCTCCGTTGACCCGCCTTTGATCTTTTTCACTATAAACCACGCTGAATTACGTGCGCCAATTTTTCAAAATCAGGGTAGTTTTCCGCACGCTCTATTTCTGAAACGAAGTCGGTAACCCCATTTTTTTTTGGCATTTCTGACACAATTAACTCAATATCTGACTGCAGTAAAAAATTAAAAATATATATATCGACTGGAAAATTTTCGCGCGAACGTCCTTAAAAAAGACAAAACTCTCTTGTGAAGTATGGCTATCATGTGATTGCTATACTGCCCCACACTGAGTTATTGCTTAATAAATATAAAATTCCTCAATATTTCATAAAATGAAGGAAAATTTAGCTCTTTTTCTGGGGATGTCATTGTTGGAGACCCTTTATGATTTTTTGAGAAAAGCACACAATATAACCCAGATTTTACATTTTGATGAAAAATGTTTCTTCGAAACAAAAAAGGAGGACAATAACAACTACACTTTAGGATTAGTGCTAGTTATCAACAATTGGTTTTACTTAAGCAACCGTTGAGAGCAAATTGGCGTAAAAGTTCTTTTTCAAAAAAGCTTTTATCACAAAAAATCTGTTTGTGACGTCATCACGAAAGAACATGTCATGCGCAATGGACATCACTTTTATGCACCTGCTATGATTCAAAATAAGACATTTCACTCTGGAACTGATTTTGGGTCACTGTTTAAGCACAATGAACTATAGAAACTCACATTTAAACATCGATAGGGTTCACCACATTGGGCAGCAAAAGTTATGATCTGAATTTCCAAGTCTAGTGCACTTTCCGAAGTCCTAGAATTAACGTAGTCCAGTGGCGTTAATTCCAATATCCTCAACCTGTCCATGTTAGTTTAAAATTTGTTCGTGATTTCGTCTTTTCCTTGTCTTCTTCATCATTGGCGGCAGAAAAATCTTCTTCGGATATTTTCAACAATGAAAAACCTACAGACTTTCGAAGTTTAGGATCTGCTACGTCCAAATTTACCTCGCCAACGAGTTCGTCTAGGTCGCTATGTTGCATTGTTTGTGATAATTATCTGTATTCTAACGAAAGCTTTTAGACAAAACAATTAAAGAGATCATTCTTTTCCCCAAATTATTCCATAGTCTCGACTTCGCTTGTACTTGGTCATAGCTAACAACACAGGCGGACCACTTGTGTTCGTGGTTAATAATTGATTATTAACCACGAACACAGAGTGGTCCGCCTGTGCTAACAGCAGCCTTTATTGTCAGATACATCTTGCAATGCATTACGGGTAACTGTACTGTTGTGACACGGTATCGCCCTTCCCGCCAAAGCAACACAAGTCTGAGAGCAGCTCAAAACATTCACACTTCCGTAGGCACCGTGCCTACTGCTTGTCATGTAACTCCCTAAAATACCTTTTCAATGCCCTTTAATTGACCTGCTTTTAGGCTTGTTCTGTTTTGGCCTGACACAGTCGCGAACCAAGTTTCAATCTGTCAGCGCTTCAGGTTACCGTAAACCTTCGCGGGTGTCCTTAGCGAAAAAAAATATTACCGCGCTGTCTTAAAGACAACCA